CAAAACAAATGGTTAGAGATCAAATACATTCTCCGAGACACATTTGGAACCAATGATATCCTTAATCTTTTTCTTTAATGAAAGCCATTTTGATCATGGGATTCTAAACACTAAAATTAAATTTAAAAATTAAAACCATACAAGACTTGGTCATCTGCCTTATGCGGATCCATACACCTTCAAATGCTATCTGGAGAGTCTAGTACACTCATCATCAATGTGTAGAAGGCAATCTAGTTAGATGAAGCATATTTTCTTTGTCGAGTAAGAAAATGGAAACACATAAAATTTCATTTCAAGTTAATTCTCTGAAAACACCATGCCAGGCTAGTCAAGAAGATAAGCTTAGTCGCCTTCCTGAGGACAAAACAGACCACGGTGGGAGCTTCTAGACCTCTGCTGTCACAGCAGGAGTGCCATAAAAACATCCTCCTGAGAAGGTTAACAAAACTTTCATATCAGAGAGAATCATATTAACAATGGAGGATGCAATAATAGAGGTAATAGAGGCCACAAAAATATAACTATCTACTTGGGAGAAACATAGGTGGGAGGATCATGGTAGAATAGGCCTGCTACAGTACAGGCAACAAGAACATTGTAGAGCAGGCTTGAGCTGTGGGACTGATGGCTCACAGACCAGACATGCTACAGTAGCAAAGGAGATAAGTACAAAATGAGGAGAAAGCATTTGAATTATTTTACAAATTTTCTCCAGAAAACTTACAAGTCTGTAGTAGTGTAACGAACACTTGGCTTTAAAATATGTAAACATATACTTATATGACACATGTGCACAATATATGCACATACAGCACACACATATGAATGCGCTTGGATAGAAACAGAAGGCTTACATCTTGAACCTTCTATGAGGAATAAAGTAATATCAAATGTTACCATTTGAGCTATTTTTGTCTTTTTCTCTATATTGGCTTAAAAGTTTATTTTAGATATGTCTCACAAATTTCTTGGAGAGCCCCACAAAACACTATGGGGGAAGATTTCAAAGGCTGAGAAAGAAATTGGGAAGAAAATCACATCCATAAACGTTTCAAGAGAAAAATAAAATAGCAAGGCATAGATACAGCCAAGAGGGAAGAACTCAAAAATGGGAACTGAGAGACTGAAGGAAGAATGGAGGAGGGCACTGGAGGACGCAGAGTGCTCCCACGGTCCAGGATCAGCAGAACTAATACTGTTTAAACGGCAAGGTTACTGAAACTGAAAGTGACTGACAGGTTGAAGGCAACCCTGATGAAAACTTGATGCCAAAACTAGGGGGAAATGCTCCAATTAACATACAAGGATAGGTAATTCCAAACAGTTCACACAATACTGAGTAAAAAAAAATACTGAAGATAAAACAAGACCTTATTCAAACTGTTATGCAGAACTACAGTAACGAAATCAGCACAGCACTGGCACCAAAACAGGAGAGTGGAACAGTGGAAGAGAAAGAAGAACTGAAAATAAATCCATACAGTGACAAGCAGTTTGTTTCCAATAAAGATATCAAAAAGCACACATTAGAAAAAATTCCGCCATTTCAAACCTTGTGCTGAGAAAAACGGATATTTGCATGAACAAGAATGAGGCTAGATCCCTTCTCTCACCCTGTACAAAGTTAACCAAGTGGAACAGTAAGCTTAGTGTAAGACTTAATGCATCAAATCTGTCATGGGAAAACATTTCAAGACAGATTCTTGACAAGACAGCCTGAAAGGGACCTCCAAACAGACAAGAAAACAACGTCATTAATTGACAAATGAGACTGCATGAAATAGAAATGTTTCTGTTCAGCAAAGAAAACAATTAACAGGGCGACGAGATAGCTGACAGAATGAGAGAAAGTCCTGGATATCTATTTAACATGGGATTAAAATTTGAATATATAAAGAATTCAAAAAAATCCGCAAAGATAAACAAACATGAATCAAAAGAAAAGAGAGATACACTTGTTTAAAATATTTTTAAAGGTTATGCATAGAAAGTCCATCTCAGTCAGAATGGCTATAATCCAAGAATTAAAAAACAAACATTGGTAAGAATATGAAGAAAGAGCATTTATTCATTGCTGGTGGGAATATAATATATGCAGCCAATGTATGTAGATAGGAATAAAAATTCCCCATGAAGTTGAAGCCAGAAAAACTCTCCTGGTTTACCCCCAAGTATTCTGTGTCTGAACACCATAGAGATGCATGCATGATGTCTACATACTACAGGGATGCATGAGCATCACATCCAATTATAAAACTAATCACCATAGTCAGGATAGTCAGTTAAATGCCAATTAACAGATGAACATCAAAAGAATATGTGGTACCTAAACAAAATGAGAATCACTGAGACACAAAAAGCAGGATTATATTATCATGAGGAAAATATGTAAAAATGTATCTCATTGTGTTAAACAAAAAAAAGGCAGACCCAGTACGAAAAAATAACACATTGTCCTCTTAAATATTGTATAGATAATGATGAAGTATTATATGATAGATTAGATAGATAGATGATAGATAGATAGATAGATAGATAGATGTCTTATAGAAAACAGATTGGAGTTGATAGATGACAGACAGCTAGATAAATAATGATGCAGATATATAGATACAGTTATAAATATAGAAATAAATGGGAAAAGGCTATATGGAGAAGCATGACTACCAGGAGGAAAGGGGAAAGGAGGTTTATAATGTGTGATTATTTAACAGTGTACAAAGACTTAGATGTATGGAAACATCAAAACAAAAACATCATTTTGCACATTGTTTTTCAATGAAAATTGATGAAGCAGAATGGAAAAGAGAACCTTATTTTAAATGTTGCTATAGCTGTTTCAGACACTTTGAGAGGACACGATTCCAAAGTGACAGAGCAGAGAGACTCTTAGGCACCTGTGTCAGGCATACTACCTGGGCTACAACAAACTCTCTCTAATAGTTAACCAGTTCAGTTAAAAATTACATGTGGCCCAAGCCTGTAATTCTAGTACTCAAGAGGAAAAGACTGGCACATTTCTGTGAATCAGAGGCCAACCTGGTCTATGTGGAGATTTTCAGCCAGCCAGGGCCAGGTAGTGAGGCTTGCCTCAAACAAGTAAATGACAAACAAACCATTGTGGACTGAGACTGTTGATCGATGGGAGAACATTAGCCTAGGCTGTGCACGGCCCTGTGTTCCATCTCTACCTTCATGCACAAAGCATGTTACTTTTATAGAGAAAGAGTCATTCAAGACTGATGGGCTTGATTTTCTTATATACACTACATGATGTTATATGATTCGGGACTAAGAACAATATCACTGCTGGGGCCTGCATAGAGATTATGCCCTGAGCACACATAAATCACAATTTCTGCCACTATTAAAAAGACAAAGAACACAGATGAAACATAAACATTAGACAAGCTTTTAATGCTAATCTCTAAAACTCCATATTACATTACCCTAGATTTATTGAAACTCATCTTAAACAATTGAATTTTTTATTATTGTTTTTTTAAAAAATAAGCAGTCTGAATACTGCTTGGCTAAATACTCCTTGCTCTATTCTGTGATAAACCATGACAGATAATAAATATTTATTAATTTCAATGACAGGAAATACATTTAGACCTAGAAAATCAATAAAAGTAACCCTTAGTAATTCAATATATACAAGGTCATAAGCAACTTGGTTCTAATAATTCATTTAAGCAATATAGTTTGAGTTGGAGACAAAAGTCACATGCTCCCAGAATGGAGGCTACTTGGCTGGAAGCCATCAGTTTAGGATGACATTTTTGTCTGCTCCAGACATAACACTAGAGGAAAGAGGCCATGGTTTACTCATCAGTATTGTGTTGTGTGGAAAGTGTGGTTTTGGCCATTTTAAGAAACTTGCTGATGAACATAGAACAGTACAGTTTCATGTACTTTTATTGTTTGGGATATAAATAATCCAATGTTTAAACCTAGAATTTTCATGAGTAGAACAGGAAAAATGTATGGAAAACATTTACTTTGAAATTATAAGTATTCTTCAACACACAATAAGAGCAAAGGTGATAAAAAGAAACATTGGAAATATGATTTCATGAATTTTTTACAGGAAAATATGTTAATATATCATGAGATTGCATAAACTACTAAATCTTTTATGCCCACAATCACAAGTAGCAATGCTAGGATAAGGAGAGTAAGATATGAATAGGAATTGGGCTCATCTGTAGTACAACACAGTGCTCATGCAGTATTCCTGTTGCCTGTACAGTCTTGCATGTCTAAGTCAGGCTGCTGTGCATAGCATACATTCTAATCGCAAACAACCTTTCAGGCTGTCTGGGTTTATTTACATATAGACCCCACCAAGCCATTTCTGTACAGACCAAAACAAAGTGGGGAGGAAGCCACTGAACCCTGATGGTAATCGATTGTTGGGAAGTTTGTTAAGACAGATTTCACATCATTTATTTTGAAATGTGAAGGCACATTAAAATTCCTTAATATATAATTAAAAAAAAACAAATGGAAGCCTATACAAACTAACTGACAAGCTATGTGGTGGGCTCCTTCTTGTTACAAGTTTTTTACATACTGTAAAAGGATTCTGATGGACTGAAAGCGATATACTTAGCTTTAATCCATGTATTCTGTGACGATGTAGCTTAAGCCTCCAAAGAAGGCTCTTATCTGTGTTGTTTATGAGAATGTAATGCAAATACTTGTTTTAAAATTACTAATAACTCATTGTTTTTCTATTTTTGTTGTTGTAATGAAAACAATTAAAAGTTCCCGCTTATGAACCAAGCTCTTTGATGATAAAACATTGCTTTCTGACAGCCTTCCCTGTGTGGTCATGGGAACCGCAGTCTGAGATAGTCTACTGAGAGCTGCCTAATAACCATTCAGTGAACTAGCTGTCCTACATGGGCCCAGTGTGTTGAGTATACACAACGAAGTTTAAAGACTATACGTTAGTAGTCATCACTGCTAACACATGGAAAAAAATGTACCTTGCTTTTTGTCCTCGAATCTGGAATCTTGGAAGCAATTGTTCTGGGCGGATGCAACATCTGTGATGGATTTGATGGGAGGAGACTGAGAGGGGGAGGCTGATCACGGAAAACTGACGTCAAGCAGAGTTGTACAGTCTCTTTCATTGCTTTTATCTGGGATTCCTGAGAGCAAGGGGAAGAATAATATTTTTACCTATAGTTCTTGTTACCATTCCCTGCATACAAATAGAAACAGGTTTTCAAATGAAATTTCTTGTTCTGCTTCAATATGATGCCTACAGTAGCTTCTGTACTTGAACACCTTCTGCCCAGCAGGTGGCACAGTTAAGGCTGTGAAACCTAGGATGAGGGAATGGAACACTGGGCGACAGGCCTTAATTGAAAACAGAATAAGCATACTTCTGAGCTGATTTTCGATCTCTGATTTGTCTCTTGCTCTCCACTCTTGTTCTCTCTCCTTCTCCCTCCTTTTTCTCTTCCCACTTGCTTCATCTCTTTCAGCTACCTGATTTGATAAGATTTGATCAAGCATCCCAAGCTACTGCCGCTGCATCTGAGAGCCATTCCCGCTACCATGTATTCTCCCATAAGATGACCCAGGAGTGTAGTAAATAGGGGTGCTGGGCTGTGTCCCCAGCACCCCGGCTGCCTGGCTAGCTTATGCCCGAAATAACAACACACAAACTGTATTCATTTAATCACTGCTTGGCCCATTTCTATCTAGCCCTTACTGGCTAAATCTGATATTTCGATCAACCCATTTCTAATAAACTGTAGCACCAGTCTTACCGGGAAGATTCTAGCCTATGTCCATCCTGGGTCGGAGCTTCATAGCATGCGTCTGCCTGGGAGCGGGGCATGGCATCTCTCTGAGGCGTCTGCTCCCGAGAGGAGAGCTGTGGAGTCTGAGCTCACTTCCTCTTACTCCCAGCATTCTGTCCTGTTTACTCCTCCCACCTATCTTCTAACCAATAAAATGGGCCAAGGCAGTTCCTTTATTAGCCAATGACCTTCCTCCATCACAGGAGTGTCTCAGGCATTGTCATGAACTATGAATGTGGTCCCATATATTGGTATTCATGATGTCATTTCACATTGTAAACAGTTTGGATACCCATATAACCCTTCGAACTATGAACTAGACTAAGTCCTTCCTTCTTTAAGCGGCTTTTCACCACATATTTGGTTGCATTGTTGAGAAAAGTAACTAACGCAGAAAACTGATGACAAGATATGAGTCTCTTGCTGCTGTAGACCTGATCATGTTGTCTATAAGTCTTTGACTTACAAGAGGATATGGAACAGTTTGAAGTGTCAGGTAAGATTATTCTGAGAAACTTGAAGCAGTATTTGTTTGGTAGGTGATTCTGGAGGGGGTATGGAGACCACTATCCCAGCAGAACAGAGGACCATGAACCTTGGCTCAGGAAGCCTCAGAGGGTGAGAAGGATTGTATCAGACATTGGTTAAGAGGTTACATATGCTACATCCTGGCAAATTCTCTGACAATGAAATGAGCATAGTGATGAATTATAAAGCAGTGGACTGATTGGTTTGATGGAGAGCATTTCAAGAGAGCATAACAGTCAGGCTGCAGGATGTTGTTTCTTGTGCTTAGTGAAGTTTATATTAGATCTTCAAAGCAGAATCTGGAGCAGAAGGTGTGACATGTAAGTAGTTAATGGAGAAAACACATTATAGTGTAGTTAAAATGGGAGGCATGGAACAGATAACAATAAACGGCATATAGCTAATATAATTATTTGTACAGTTAAGGTGTGATTGCACACTCTACATGAGGACAATAGGAAGGTACATTTAGGCTAAACACTAACTACAGGAAGGTTCTAGGGGGAACAGTGTAAATCCTTTTGAAAAAAGAGTGCCCAACACAGGGGATTTCCATGTCGCCTTTTTGACAGCTTTGAGACTGGAGAGATGGCTCAGCAGTTAAGAGTATATACTGTTCCCGTCCAGGACTGGAGCTTGGTTTCCAGCATAAGCACATCCAACCCTGTCTTCTGTCCTTTGGTAGGACTGTGCTTACATATAAAATACCCACCACACCTATACACATAATTTAAAAATAACAATCTATCTTAAAATGAAAGATTGCCATTGGCCTTTGCACTTTTGAACAGTGTTGGGCATATGAAAGATTATATGGTTTTTGACATTGATGACGAATTATCAGTATGAGATGGGTATGAATATAGAGGTAAAAATCTATAATGGAGGGTTTCGATACTGAGAACTGACAGAAGGCAACACTATTTCCCGTTTGCATGATTCTTTTTCTTTCATACTGCTCACATCATACACCTAGCAGATTAGGTACATTAATCTCTACATCAGAGCAATAACTCAACTCAGAAGCTAAAAGTAATAACCAGCCATGAAGTGGTGGTTTTAAATGCACTGATATATTGTGAAAGACAGTGCACATATATTGAATTTTGCCTTAAACTTGGTGTCACATGTATGTACACAGAGGCCCCAACCTCATCAGGAAATCTCCAGGTTAATATAATCAGCTCTCTGTCTTTAACTGTTAAAGGGGTGTAGAGAGCGATTTGTATTCTGCTTCAGGCTGTTGTCCACATCTTACTTCCTGTGTTTCCTTCTTGGGACTGTACCCTGCACCAGGATCTCCTGTCATACATTTGGGTACTGTTCTTTGTTGATAGTCTAGACAGATACTGCCAGTGACCATGGTGTGCGATTTGTCACCAGAATCAGTGCCATTGTTTTCCTACACCCCAAGAGAGTGCTCCTAATGGAACAAGCTTGTTTCTGATGCTGCCAGTGTTGTGATCACACAGGCCCTGGGTCAGAATCAGTGACCATTATACTTCAAGTGTTGTCTGTACTGGAGCTTCAGGCGACTGTTTCCTTTGAAGCTCACTATAACCAGACGTCCCTTACTGAAGTATGAGACAACATATATAGCATGCTTTCCTCTGAACCTGAAGAACTAATCTTTTCTCAGATAACTCTTGATTTACCCTTTCCCTCTTAGCCCCAAACTATTTTTCCCATTTGTTTTCCCCTCCACTCTTGAAGTGGTAAATTCTGTAGCTAAAATGCCCCCATTTTTTAGTATATTCCAATTGTAGCTCAATAAATAATAGCTTTCTGGGAGCTCACAGTTGATTCATAGATCTTGAGATTCTTTGGTTATTTTGTTATAATAAACTGACACTTCATTCATTAGAAATAACACTGAGAACAAAGTTGGGGTGTAGTTATGTGATAGTTAAGGTATTTGAACATGAGACAAAATATATCTAAAAGGAAAACATGCACAAGGTATAAAAATGTTTCTTATAGAAACAATAGAGAGAGGTAAAGGACATTTTATTTAAATTGTACTTTTTCCATTATAGATTGAGATAACCTTTTCATCTGAATTTAGAGCTAGTTTTTAAATTTCATATGCATCTTGCTTGATATTTGCTAAAATCGATCTCTAATCATGTAAAAGTCTTTAAAGTTCTATGTACAAAAAAGAGGTGACAATTATGAAGGTTAAAGACAAACTGCTCATCATAAAAAAGCAATCTTATCTCAATCACTGATAATACTAATGGACAAGCTTCCCGAGTATTTTTTGCATGGCAGGAAATATTCCTATCAGTCTAGTTAGACATACAACAACTCAATCACCCCTCAGCTCTCAATGGTAAGGCTATGTAGTGTAGCACCAGGGAAATTTGAACATGGCCCGTCAACAAAAGTCATTACCTAAACACCAGAGGAGAGTCCCTGGAGACTAGCCACTGCTCCCAGACTAGTCCATGCTGTGCACATGCAGTGCACATGAAGGAGATGGACAGTGGAACAAGCAAATGGTACTACAGGTAAAGAAACAACTCTACGGTAGCTTGAGTTCTGTCCACAGGCTGTTTCTAACCAATTAGTGTGCTGTGGCTCCGGAATTCGGTGTTATTTACAAGTACTTGCAAAGCAAGATTAATTTTCTGTCATTCTATTGTCTTGTGGGTCAAAAAGTATTATTTTCTAATTGATCCATTATATTTGATATCAGAACAAAGATCATGTCAGATACATTTTTTTATTCCTGTGATGCCCGACATAATAACATCTCACGATAGCTATTTTAAAACCCAGTAAACATTATCAATTAAATAATTATATCATGAGAGATAAGGAAGAATATTTTAGAAAGAATAATTCAATGGCCAAAAATAATAGTCTTAAAAGTTGGGAGATTGCCTCAGGACCTTGAAGACTCAATGTCTTCTTAGGATTTAATACGTTTTTCAGAGACAGTGGCAGCAAGGACAGAGAATAATTTTTTAATTGTGATCTAGGAAAATTTAAGATTGTATGTTCCTCTTGGTTTTCTAATTCCACTAAATCTACAAAAGTCTTGTGTCCTTTGTAAAAACTGACAGAGTAGGAGTTGGAAGAAATGAGGTGAACATCACTGGAAAAAATCATAAAATTAAATGTTTTATAAAACTAATTTTTGATAAAATAAATTATGGCTGTTCTACCCCAAAGAATAGAAGCTAGGCTTCCTTGAACTATTAAATGTTAATAACTTGGATAATTAATAAATGGTAATTCCAAAGAACTAAGGTTAGTGAGATATCTACTTCTCTGAATATTTAATTTGACTCAGAGCTCCAAATCTTACAAAGGAATATCATTAACATTTAGGATATGTTCTTTCTAATTTCTCCATTGTGATATAGTCTACATACTCTGTCAGCTGTGAAGATGTTTGGATCATAACAGAGCAAAGATATATTCTTAAGAGAGACAGAGTCTTATTCCTAAGAAGTAAAATTTTAGCCTGGGTTTAAACTTACCATACAGTGCAAAGTGTGCAGCACAGTATCAAAGTATCCATACAGTATCGGGTTTCCTAAAGTGTAAAACCTGAAGATCTTCAAAGGGAACCAATCCCCCACATGGTCTCTATCCTATCTGTTCCAAAGTGAAATGCCCACAGTTCAATTCTGGTAATTAAAGGGTAACCTCTTTTCTTTACAGATTATTCGAGTTCATATAATGAATTAGTGAAAAAAAAAAGCTCCCAAATGAACTGGTGTCCCTGTTCAATATTATCTATAAAACTATTACTAAATTGTGATCACCAATATAGAAAGTTCTTGGCAGAAGGCAGAACACTTTAAGTTTAGCCAAGATGACTTTGAGAATTACAAGGCTATGTAGAAAATAATATTATGTACAAGGTTAGCAGTAGTCTGAATTGAATAACTACTTAACTCAGCTGTATGATGCATAAATTACAGACAGACAAATATTTGTAATACAAATAAATATGGAGGCAGCATGTACCCGGTGTCTACATATATATTACATGCTTAACATACATGTGATATTTATGTATTCAGTACTAGCGCAGACTATTACTTTGCATCCATTCAATAAATGAAGGGTGAAACAGATGCATGCAAGGGTACTTCACAGCCATCTGCACTAAATTTCTCAGGAAACAATTAAATCCATAATTTGAATATTTGTTCTTTCACTTATTCTACCTCTATAAATACTTAATAGATTTCATGTGTTTGAACAATTATTACTAATAGACAAAATGTGTTTTATTTGTAATTTTTATGTTTGGAATGGCATTCCAAAGTATGGCTATACAATATATATGAAGTCCTACATTTTCGATTATTGAAACATGTAGTATCCTTGTGCAAATTTCCAAGCTCTCGAACACGAGGAACAGTGCTAAGGCACAGGCATTTAAGACACATTTTTAACAGCTCATGGTTACTTCCATTTTACTTCCAGAGTTTTCACAGAACAGTATGGCTTACACATTAAGTACGTTTATACATGGTGTTATGGAATAAATGTGCCAGGAAGATAAATGAAAAATGGAGTCACAAACACCCAGAGTTCCCTCAATTGACAGTGGCAGAAAAAAAAATGAGCGCAAGGAAGCCATCACACACTCAGGAGTTTGAGGACCAGCTTTTGTGCAGTGTCTAGAATCGTGCTGGGTGGCCGCAGGCAGCAGCAAGCACACACTGTGTGCCTGAAATCCAAGTCGTGATGGCTCCTGGATGGCAACTTACCCTGTCGAGAGCTGCTTTCTCAAGTTCATTTTTGGCGACAGCTAACTTCTGTTCCAGTTTAGTGAGCTGTTGGGCCTGTAACAGAGAGGAAAAGCAGTGCATTTGAGAAAACACTATACATATTTGTTCTTCACAGAAAAAGAAAGAAAGAAAAGGGATATAGCCTGCTAGTTGAATTTAAAATTCAACTAACAGAACTTCAAGTCTTTGAAGACAAAATCTTTAAATTTTTGAAGAAAGAAATTGAAGAAGACATCAGAAAATGGAAAGATCTCCCATGCTCTTGGGTAGGTAGAATTAACATAGTAAAAATGGCAATCTTACCAAAAGAAATCTGCAGAGTCAATGCAATGCCCATCAAAATTCCAGAAAAATTCTTCACAGACCTCAAAAGAACAGTATTCAACTTCATATGGAAAAGCATAAAACCCAGGATAGCCAAAACAATTCTATACAATAAAAGAACTTCTGGAGGCATCACAATCCCTGACTTCAAACTGTACTACAGAGCTACAGTACTGAAAACAGCATGGCATTGGCATAAGAACAGGCAGGAGTTAATATGGAACCAAATAGAAGACCTTGATATTAATCCACACTCCTTCAAACACCTGGTTTTTGACAAAGAAGAAAAAATATCAAATGGGAAAAAAGCATGTTTAACAAGTGGTGCTGGCATAACTGGATGTCAACATGTAGAAGAATGTAAATAGACCCATATCTATTACCATGCACAAAACTCAAGTCCAATTGTATCAAAGAACTCAAGGTTCACTCAAGCCACACTGAACCTTATAGAAGAGAAAGTGGGAAGTACACTTGAACACCCTGGCACAGAAGACCATTTCCTAAATATAACCCCAGCAGTACAGACACTGAGAGAAACAATTAATAAATGGGACCTCCTGAAACTGAAAAGCTTCTATAAAACAAAAGACACAGTCAACAAGACAAAATGACAGACTACAGAATGGGAAAAGATCTTCTCTACCCCACAGACAGAGGTATGATGTCCAAAATATACAAAGAACTCAAGAAATTGGTCATCAAAACAACACATAATCCAATTAAAAAATGGAGTACAAACTTAAACAGAGAACTCTCAACAGAGGAATCTAAAATGGCTGAAGGAAATGTTCAACATCCTTCGTCATCAGAGAAATGCAAATCAAAACAACTCTGAGATTCTATCTTACACCTGTAAGAATGGCCAAGATCAAAAACACTGATGACAACTTATGCTGGAGAAGTTTTGGCAAAAAAGGAACACTCCTGCATTTCTGGTGGGATGCAAGCTGGTACAACCCCTTTGGATGTCAGTGTGGCGATTTCTCAAAGAATTAGGAAACAACCTTCCTCAAGACCCAGTAATACCATTTTTGGGTATATATCCAAAGGATTCTTAATTATACCACAAGGACATGTGCTCAATTATGTTCATAGCAACATTGTTTGTCATAGCCAGAACCTGGAAACAACCCAAATGCCTCTCAACTGAAGAATGGATAGGAAAATATGTTACATTTACACAATGGAGTTCTACACAGCACACACACACACACACACAAAATGACATCTTGAAGTTTACTGGGAAATGGATGGAGTTAGAAAGCAATATTTTGAGTGAGGTAACACAAACACAGAAAGACAATTATCACATGTAGTCACTTATAAGTGGTTTTTAAACACAAAGCAAAGAAAACCAGCCCAGAAATCACAATCCCAGAGAACCTAGACCCTAAGAGAGACATACATAGATCTAATCTACATGTGAAGTAGAAAAAGACAAGATCTCCTGAGTAAATTGGGAGCATGGGAACATTGGGGAAGGGTTGAAGGAGAAGGGAAGAAGCAGGGAGGGGAGCAGAGAAAAATGTAGAACACAATAAAAATCAATAAAAAAATTCAGATGAAAAGCACAAAGTTTGTGCAGAGAATGGTATGATCTGAATAAAGGAGGACTAAAGTCTCACAGGTAGAAACACCTTGTAAAGCCTTATGCAATCTTTGTTATAATTTGTTTGTCCTCTTATAAGAGATGCTTCTAGTCCTCGGGGACTGAACTCTAACTCCACAACTTCCCATGTTGATGTCTGAGTGTTCAATTATGTTTTAACTTTTTATTTGGTGAGAGAACAATTGAGACTATAATCAGGCTTGAAATTCTCTTTTTTTCTCTCTCTCTTTATAATAATAAATATCAAATCACCAGGACAGGAAATGTATTCCCCAAACACTGAATAAAGGAGAACCTGAAATGGTAGTCTTGCTCTGAGGGTTGTGTGGACATGGTTTACATGAGCTGCCTAGTCTGCAAAATTAAAATAGCAACACTTGATTTTTTACCACATGTCTCTGTATCCTAGCATGCCTCTTTATTTCCTCAAATGTTGTAACAGGGCTCTTCAGGGAAAGTAACAGTCACTTCACATTTGAAAGATGTATTTTTTTTTTTTTTTACAAAAACACCAAGCTAACAGTCATAATATATATGCAGAGGACTGGGGAGTGGGAGCAGGAGTGTGTTTGTTTCTGACTTTTTTGCCTGATCTTGGAATTGTTTTCTTCTTTTTGAGTTGCCTTGTCCAGCCTAGATATGAGGGCTTTTGCCTTTTCTTATTGTATCTTGTTTTGTTTTGGTTGTTTTCTCTTGGAAGCCTGATCTTTACTGAAAGGTCAAAGGAGAGGAGGGGGAATGGATCTGGGATAGAAAAGAGGTGGTGGTGATGGGGAGCAGAGAAGAGGGAAGGGGGGAGAAACTGTGGTCATTATGTTTGTAGGGGACAAGAATCTATTCTCAATAAAAAGAAAAAAGAAAAATGCATTCTAATCTTGCCTTAACTATGTGATTTTGGACAAAATATTTGATGCTTCAAGCAAAAGCTGACACCAGATTTCTGTCATAAACCATCACTGAGTAAGGAACACAATGCCTGGAGAAGTTCATTACCAATACACACATATATTTACACGACTTCCAATTATAATTCTCTGAGCATATTCCTTCCAGTCTATGTTGGCTTATATTAATAGCAAGAAAAACTAAATGTATTTATTTCAGATGGTGTTAGCAATGCTGTCCTCCTATTCCTTATCAGGAATAATTCAATCATGTCCTAATATAAACAACAGTGACCTTGTAACATACATGAAAAATGGATTGTGTGTAATGATTATATATTGAAGAAAAAATAAAGTCAAAGACAAACTGCTTTCCTATCTGTACATGCATATTGTGAGTTAGTGACAGCTGTTACTAAGAAAATGAGGTTAAAAGGGAAATAGGGAATTCAGGAGTCTGCATTAATCTCTTCTTCTCATGGCTTCTGTCCCTGGACTGGAGAAACAGCTTGGTGGTAAATACTTACTATTCCTTCATAGAATTGAAGTTTAGTTCCCTTCACCCGCATGAGGTTCACAACATCCCATACCTCTAGCTCCAGGGACCCAATACCTGCTTCTTTCCTACATGGGAACCCATATTTACCTGCACATACTCATATACAGATATATATACATACAGAGAATTTAAGAAAAAATTAAAATCTTTAAAAATAAAATTGAGAAAGAAAGTTATTCAAGCTTTTGTCTCTGTGTCTTATGGCTCTTCCTATCAAGAGAGTGTTTATATTCTTGATTTTGAATGAGATCTTGCAGTTCTAACTCTTTCTGTGGTCATTGGAATACAGAAAAGCACTTGAGATGGCCATGGCAAACTAAGTGTTAGGGTGGAGTGCCTCTCGTTATGCCCTCATGGAGAATCCAAATGAGATAAAAGCTGAGCAAAAACAGGCCAGTGGAAATATAGCTACACATGTACCCAGCCAACATCACTGGCTTCCTTCCAACATACATGTGCTTGTAATCTATCCATAAACGGCTGGTACTTTCTACCTTAGGGTGTGGGTGGTGTCTCAGTACAGCCTATTGTTATAAAGGAGACCCATCAATGCTTCCTAACTGGGGAAGAAGCAAATCATAAAGTGGAAACTTAAGACTTCCAATGCAAAAAACAAAAATCTGTTTACATAAAACACACATCAATCAAGAGACAGGTAAGTAGGAAAGTAGGAGGGACAGACATAGTAGTAATTTATCTGTCCCACATGATGTACTTTTAGAGAGTTAGGAAATAGGAATGTACGACTTGCAAATTTGCAGTACTGCATTTGAATGCAATGCCTTCCAGTCACTGGGGTAGGGGCTATTGTGTTCAATGAGTGGGTTAGCTCTATGCAGGCCTCCCTTTTTCTCCATCTGAGAGGAAATGCCAGCATTTGTAGATCATTGTCCAGTCTTGTCTTCCTCATGACCCAGGGACAACTGATCCAAGATGGCGGAAGGCAAATCCTTGATCAGTGGACATAGGGAAAAGAGTCTGATGATCAGTTTTAGTACATTGAGCAATGTAATTAATCCCTATAAGCTCAAGGTTTTTTTTCTATATACAATAAAATACCTGTAAAATAATTAAAGAAATAAAAGCAACACAAAGTAACATACAGATACTTAGTGAAAAAGGTACTTTGTTGACCTCCATTTGTACATCATTAGGAGGAGTCAATGTAGTCCTGTATGCTTATTTTTCGACAAGAAAAATGAATTCCCATAAAATAGAAATTCATTTCTGAAACTATTACTACTAGCCACCTCAAAGTTTTCTGTTTGTTTGCTGTTTTTTTTTTCCATTTACGATATCTTTCTGAACATGAGAAAGCTCATAAGTGAGAAGTTTACAAAGAGAATACTAATATGTTGTCTTGGGTTTTAAAACAGCAGTGTTTATACTATATACAAGAAAGTTCTGACAATATCTACAACACAAGAAGACTTATGGTAGTCAGGGCACTTATCCAGAGAGTAAACTGTTTAATAAAGTTAACTTTATAAAGATTACTTGAGAAATCATAATGTACTATAAATTAAAATATGACGCCATCTCAGAAAACCCAGTGTTGAACTCAGAGAACTTTTCATTTTCATACAGTCATTTACTAATACTTGGAACATGATTAATTTTTTTCTAAGTCTGAAACAAAGAAGAGTGAAGAGAAACAGAAGAAAACAAATCATGC